GAGAGAGAGAGAGAGCCATTTGTGGGTGTTTTTTTTCTTTTTTGTTTATGGGCATGTGTCGGAATACTCGTATCCATGCATTTTGTTTTTTATTCTTGTGATTTTCTTCACAATTTTATTTCTCTCTCTAAAACATGATTAATTTGCCAAGTGGTATTCGCCGATAAATTTTATACTGCGTCAAGTGGTATCAGAGCATAGTCGATTCTTGTAGATCGTAGTGTCGTCGATTGGCTTCATAGCTCATGGACAAGGTCTATAGAGGGGTATCGGTACTCAACCCATTCAACACAAATGAAACATCTAGAAGAGCTAACCCTACGCTTAGCATAAAAACTAACCTCGACAAACTATGATGACGGTAGTAAGTCAGATGCTATTTTCGAGAACCCATTTCGTACCAACGTTCTGTGTTAGCAGCCTCATGGTTGGGAGAATGATCTATTTCCTCATGGTCGGGAGATTGATCTACCTAAGTTTGATGAAGAATTAGTTGAAGATGAGGATTTGGATCGTCAATTGCAGTCATCATTCTTGGACATCACACGTTACCTCATCATTCGAGAAGATCCTGTTTTTTATGAATCACAAGTTGAGTTTTTTTCAACCAGGGGAGAATAATGCAGATTAAAATTTAGATGCTACAAATTTTAATTTTATTTTTAAATTTTAGGTAGAATTTTTATTTTTATTTATTAAGGTTAATTATTGAAAATAGCATTTTTAAGTTAGTTTAATAAAGTCTATTTTGCAGCGAAGGTTTATTATTTAAAAGACCGTTTTTAGAAAGTTTTGTTACAAGATAAAATGTTATCTCAATATTTAGTATTAATCTTTAGTAATCTTTTTTAAAAAAATGTAGGAGGCTATGTTTATTTTAAAGCCTTATCTTTAGAAAAAATATGATCAGATGATTTGGATATAAATAAGTTTTTCCTTATCTTTTGGGATAAGGGGAATGTTCACGTGATTATTTTGGCTAATTGGTTAGGCCATATGTAAAGCACCTAATGAGATTAATGTTCCCCCTTCTATAGGAAGTTTTAGAAAGTTGGAAGTGTATAAAAGAAAGGAAGCACGCATATTGTAATGCAGATTGAATTTGATGAATGAAAAACAAAAAGATATTTGAGATAGTGTAAAGAGATACAAAGAGAGCCTTTTGTGGGTTTTTTTTTTTTCTCTTTTGCTTATAGGCTCGTATCAGAATACTCATATCTGTGTGTTTTGTTCTTTCTTGTGATTTTTTTCATGATTTTATTTTTTTTCTCTAAAACATTGTTAATTTGACAGGTGGTATTCGCCAGTAATTTTATATTGCATCAAAGAGGGAGAGAGAGTGAGAGAGAGGAAGATTGAAATGAAAAACCCAAAAAGAGTTATTTTCTTTACGATTGTATTTTTTTCTCTAAAACATTGTTCATTTGTCAAAGTGGTATTCGCCAGTAATTTTATATTGCATCAAAAAGGTATAGAGAGGAAGATTTGCATCAAAGAGGGAGAGAGAGTGAGAGAGGAAGATTAAATGAAAAAACCCAATAATTTTATATTGCATCAAAGGGGAAGAGAGAGTGAGAGAGGAAGATTTGCATCAAAGAGGGAGAGAGAGTGTTGGTTAGCACAGTTTACAACAGTGTATCACAATTATTACACATCAAATGTGCAAGGAAGTATTTATTCGCTTGAGTTTACTCCCACCTTTTGCTGTGCGAGTAATAACATGAAACAACAATGTATTATACTAATTTATTTCAACTATTTACATCACATTGTGGTATGTGGTGTACCGATTAGTGTGAACCTCATATACATGGTGGTTGATGGTTTGAGTCTCCACATAGAGCTCCCTTGTTCAAGTCTCCACATGGAGCTCACTTTTGCAACTTTGTTTTTTTTTCTTATCTTGTCAAATTTTTTTTGTTTATTAAAAAATTAAAATATTTTTGTAAAAAGTAATAAAATATTTTTGTCAAAAAACAAAATTGAAAGGTTCTTATCGATTTCTTTTCTTGTCAATTTTCTTTTTGTCGAAAACAAAAAAAAAATATAAGGTTCTTATCAATTTCTTTTTCTTGTCAATTTTCTTTTTGTGGTCAAAAAAATAAAAGGTTTTTGTCAAAAAAATAAAAGGTAATAAAAAATTCTTCTCCAAAAAAAAAAATGTTCTTATAAAAAAAAATGTAATACAATAAGTATTTCTTGTTACAAATAAAAAGGTTCTTGTTAAAAAAAAAATGGTAATACGACAAACATTTCTTGTCAAAAAAATAAATAAAAGGTTCTTGTCAAAAATAAATAAAAGATAATACAACAATTATTTATTATCAAAACGAAAAAGTTTTTGTCAAAAAAAAAAAAGATAATACAACAAGTATTTCTTGTAAAAAATAAAAATAAAAGGTTCGAAAATTGGTACGTGTTCTAATAATTTTTACATTGATAACCAAATCTTTTATTTTATTTATTAAGTTATTTACATTATAAATTATATAATGTATTATCTTTCTTACCGTTGTGAATAGTATATTTTACATTAGATGATATTATAAGAATTGTGTTCTTTTGTTTTTCATTACCATCAGCTCATGCAAAATCTTTGCTTGAGAAGAATCCGCACATAGCATCCAAAACTTTTAGATTTCCCTTGGTTTTATTGCAAGGAGCAGCAAGGTCTCTACTTGTGTAACTCTCGTGCCAGAGAAATGAGGTTTTGTTTGGGGATTTTGGGTGGAGATTTTGGAGTGGGTGCTGCACGAAGAGAGAGTTGGGGGTAGAGAGAGAAAGTGAGAGAGGGCGGTAGAGAAAGTGAGTTGGGACATCTGACGGCTTGGAAGGCTCTAACGAACTGTAGGGCTTCAAATTGAATTGAAAAACTCCCTAACTTGTTCATGTCTGAGTATTTCCACTCCAAATCTCATTTGATCTTCTTAAGAAGAAGAAGTTTGCCAGCTCTTGTCACCATGCTTAAGAGAAAGCACCTCCTTTCATTCCCATTCTCTGCTTTCTTGCCTTCTTCTGCTTTTTCTTCTTCTTCTTCTTCTTCTTCTTCTTCTGCATATTCTTCTTCTTTTGCAAATTCTTCTTCTTCTTCTACAAGTTCTTCTTCTTTTGCAAATTCTTCTTCAAGATGTGTTCTAAGGATAGGAGATGTGTTCAGGAGAGTGAGGAAGTTTGGGAGTGAAGATGTGATGGAGTATTCGAGGCTTAGCCACGACTCGAATCCCCTTCATCTCGATGCCCAGGCTGCACAGAGAGCGGGATTTGATGGCTGCTTGGTTCATGGAATGCTTGTTGCCTCCCTTTTCCCCTGCATAATTGCTTCTCACTTTGTAAGCTCTCTCTCTCTCTCTCTCTCTCTCTCTCTCTCTACCGCCATTCAAGCATTCTCTGATTGGATCGGTCAGAGACACTTCTTCCAAGCTTCTGATGACATAGCTTTGATTTCATATATGAAGTTGAGCAAAACACACCCTGTCCTTTGTAGAAATGATAATAGAATCATGTCATTCGTTGGAAACATCAGTACAATTTTGCCTTACTCTCTTTCCTGATTCCTCTGAATCTCCTAGGTTCTTCACTGATATTTCTAAATATGTTCGTCAATTTACATTTTATGATCCTCTATCTGGTTATTTATTGCTCTATCTGTTTTTATATTGCTTCTGTGATCCAAGTCATGTAATAAATTCTTCAGTTATTTGACAATCTGGGGAGTCTCTAGAAAATAGGTCGCACGAGGTTCTTTCGATAGAGATTTCTAGTGAGATAAGGCTTCAGTCTCTTATAAAGATGTTAAACTGAGTTTGCTAATTCAAATTACTGTGAAGGGGTGACTAAGTTCTGGCTCACAGAAATTAAAAATTAGTTCTTATGGGGTTTTCAAAAGATGGCCAAAATGCATACATAAATGGATATATATGGATAACCCATTAGCATGCAATGTATCCAACTCTAGCATTCTTGGAGGCAGAAGTTGCTCATTATTATGAAACCCACCGCTGGAAATTTTATATGTAAGAGAGCTAATAACCCCATAAGATGAAAATGATGGTCATACAGGTTATGGGGTTTTTCAAAAGATGGACAACTGCCATACATAAATGGGCATATATGGATATCTCATTAGCATGCAATGTGTCTAACTCTAGCATTCTTGGAGGAGGAAGGTTCTCATTATTATGAAACTCACTGCTGGAGAATTGATACGTAAGAGAGCTAATAACCCCGTAAGATGCAAATGATGGTCAACCTCTGTATGTCATCCAATTTTGCCACTCTCTAAATGACAATGAGTGGTATGCAGTTGGCATGGTGCAGTAAAGTTGAGTAGGATAAGGATGAAATGCCAAAATTTTAAACAAAGCGTGGAGCCAAATCATCTCCTGTTCATCAATATCTTTGCTCTGTTTCTGCCTCTTTAAGTGGTCAAGTTTCTGCTAGACTGTTGGAGTTGGCTTACTCCGTATTCGAACATGTTACTGGCGAATATTACTTTGCAAAGACATGAATGTGAGAGGATCTCAAATATCTTCTGATGTTGTGAGGAGCTTTCACATGGCATTCTATGGAGCTTCCTTAAATGTGCTGCTTACATGGCCAATGTGCATAATGTACCGTAGTTTGGTTCTTGGATTTAATAAACCTACAAATAATGTGATATTTGTTTGGAATGAAGGCATAGAGTTTGATGTAGAAATAAAACAATGTAACCATTATCTTGCTGTTCATGAGATCGATGCTTATTCACAAGATTCTCACGGGGAGTTTTTATTTAAATGTATCATGGATTAGCAAGGGATGTGTTCTAGGAAACCACATATACATTTTGTAAAGGATGCATTGCTAACCCATCGTATATCAAGTTCTTCAAACTAAACTAGTTACAGGAGCTGCCCTTTGAGTAACATGACAGGATGACGAGAAAAAAAGCATTACCCTCAGAAACAAGGTGCACAATGGCTATAAGTGATGTGGGAAAGAAGTGGGCTCTCTTTTATCCAATTTTCTAAAATCGTACTTGAAGAAATTGATTGGTGGACTTTATCAAACTTAGTTGGAGGAACTGTTTTGAGAGAATAAGGGGAATCCTAAAGGAATTATATAACTCGAGAGCTGTTTGGTGGAATTTATCAAACTGAGTTGGAGGAACTGTTTTGAGACAATAAGGGGAATCCTAAAAGAATTATATAACTCTAAGAGCTTTTTCCTATTGGCATATATGACTTGAGTGCTTAATTACAAAAAAAATGTCAAGGGAACACCTGAAGTGGATCAGGTGAAGAAACAAATTTCTTGTGGAAATCACCTGGGAATCACCAAGAATGTTAATTTGAAAGCAAACAAATGCCATAGTTAGGAGTTTTGACTGATATCTTGGAGAAGAACTCCTTGGGTAACATGTAAGGGTAAATTATGATTGAAAGGATGACAAGTGGACCTGTCTAGTCACTTAAGGACCATTAATAAATTTGGTGAACTTTTGATTTTAGAATATTCTTACCTAATTGGAGTATTTTATGAGTTCCAAATAACTATTGTTTTTTCCTAGGAGATTGCTGAGTGGCTCCTTTAAGTAAAACGGCCCACCTAGTCTCTCGGGCGCCACCCACCATGCTTGCCCCAAGAGCAAAACCCCCAACCCACTCCCCCCCCCCCCCCAAGGCCTAGGATGGCATACCTGCACGCATGTCCCTAGAAGGGAGCCTAGGTGCTCGAGGCGATGCCTACCACCTAAGCTGAGGCGCGCATCTCAGTCGGCCCTTACCTGAGAATGGAAATGACCCTCGGGCAAGGGGTGTTTTTGCTACTTTCTCTTTTAAGGGGGGTTGGGGGTTTAGGAACCGTAACACCCAACACCCCCTCCCCTTGGCACCCACCCCCCCCAAAAAAATCTGAAGTTAAGGTTCAAACCAAGAAGACAACATTTTAGAATATATGTAGATTGTAGAAATAAATATTGTGTCATATGACCTCTATTATGAGGAAAGTCCATGCCCATTTGGAAGCTATTTGGTGAGGTTCACGGAAGTTTTAGTTCAGTTTTTGGCGAGATCGAATCTCCTTCTTATCTTGCTATCATACGTATACTATGGTATTTCAAATTCTTTGCATTAACTTATATTAAGGGTTTTGAATTGTGATCTTCATTTGCAATCGGGAGTATTTGTGGACGATCATAACTCAAGTCTTGGTTACAAGGGCAAAGAAAATAACGAGATATGACATTGCAACTAGTGGGGGAATAGCACCAGCAATTGCAGCAATAGATTTCAAAAATAAGACAACAATAGAACTCTGTAAAGCTGACCTTGTCCAAAAATAACAGACTCTTACCAGTAAAGGCATCATTGATAAGAGAATAGTCTATGTAAACGAACAAAATTTGTGGATTTTGGTTTTCAATTTGCCTGGTGCCTTGGCGGCCAAACCCCCCTGGCCACATAAGAATTAGCGAGCATCATTTTGAACCTATAACTGCTCCAAATGCCTTATATCTAGCATCCATCAAATGGATTGCTTAGTGTGATTTTGGGGTCGAAATAGATTTGGTGCAACTAGGCTCCAAAATCAAATATTTATTTTTACAATAAATATTAGATGAGTTGCAAGTGGTTTCTTGGATACGAACGTCTTTACACCTAGCTAGAACATTTTGTTGACAGGGTGGATAAATATTAGTTTTTTGTCAGACCAAGTCCAGGCGTGAAGATATACACCTTTTTAAGCATGTATACTTGTCCATATGCTTGTGTGTGTCACTTTTTTTGCCGGTAAATCTCTTTACTCCTTTCAAGTTGACGATAAATAACTATTCTTCCCTTAATAATCACCACTTCCCATGCTCAAAGCTGAGCACATAATTTGGAATCAAGTTGGGTGGTACGATAGCCACTAAGTTTTTGAATTGGGCCATGACTGCAGATCTTTGCTGCATTAACTAAATTTGGATGTACCTGGAAAAATCATTTTGAAAAAGATTAAAAGTTACTAATAATGAAAAGTAGAACGAAGTAGCTGATTTGGAAATCAATAAATATTTTTTCTCTCTTTGAAATAAATAAATCCAGAAAATTGATTTAAGCTTATTAAACAATCTTTTTTCACTAAAATAAAAAATTCAGAGAAATCTAAAAAATTTATTCCAATAATATAAAATATAAATAAAATATAAGTAAACATATTCAAAATGAATTTGATGGGAATTGGATTCAAAGAGTTAGGAATATCACAAATATACAGAGGACTCCATCCCTTCTAGAAACTGTATCTCTCTATCATGTTTTCAAACTGACCCAACAGTTCCCATGACCCATCCCAGTGGTTACACTTGGACTATCAAAGTCAATCAATAAATGAAGGAGACACGATCCTAGCCCATGGATTACAGATCCCTCCTTGAGGACAAGTCCAGGCCCCATTCTAGGACAATGCTTCATGGGTCCATCCAACACAATCCAGTGTTGCAGGGAGACATGTTTTTGACACATACACAATACACCCTCACCCAGAGGGTCGCTTCCCGAACGACTATCTAGTGTACATGTTGTGCGATGGTAATGATGAGGATTTCGCCCTTGTCCTCTTCAGCCAACCGCCACACACAGGGGTTATACCCATTCCTTTGGCCAACTGCCCTGGGTACAACTATGACCTCATCAAGGGATGATCCCACATTGAAACCCTTATCGGTTGTGCACAAATGCCTAGTGCTATGGGTTTTGGACATCATCCCGAGCCAAGCCAATCAAAACTTAGGTGGGTCACGGTATCAGTGATGCCTCACAGTCCATCCTAACCACACTCCCACTGGAGCCATCATATCGCTACATGAATAAATTCAGTACAAGCTCTCGTAAGGCTTTTAAATGGCCATATAACCCCAACAGTCCCATGCCTGTGTTGGATACATATGGATACGCGTACTGGTGCAGATTCTTCTGGATGCACAGTTGGATTGGGTGACTTCAGGAAATGGAGGGTTACAGCAGACCGTTACACTGAAGAGCTAATGGAATTGTGGACGAGAACCATAGTGGTTCCAATTTGGTGTTGAATCAAAGCATCTATGATCTATCATATGTTTGTCCATTTTTTATAATACTTCAGAATCATAATGTGTCATGTTTTATCCTGACACTTCTTATCTTTATGATATCATGAATGGAATATCATGAATTTTTTCCTTGTCTTTGTAAGAATTTATCATCATAGTTATGTATGTATGTGTGCGTGCGTGTGTAATTGTCTCCAAATCCTACTTTTTGGGGCAAGAATAATCCATACCCACCCCGTACATGTTCCCTACATCGACATGCATACCCATGTCCATGCAACATAGATGCATACGCTAATTACATGCTTTTATGTTAAATGAATTGAGCTTTATTTTTCTTTTCCATGTGTAGCCTGGGGCAGTATATGCATCACAAAATCTGCAATTCAAATTACCAATCTATGTGGGAGATGAAGTAGCTGCTGAAGTATGTGCCCTGGAGCTTAGAGTCTACAAAGAGAAGTACATGTAACTCTTCTTCTACAAACAATCTTTATGAAGTTTCTTTACATGATGAGATAGAAATAATGAATTAAATTCTATGACTGTTGATAAATGAATATTGATTTATTTGCAGAGCAAAATTCTCCACAAAATGCTTTAAGAAAGGGGAGTTTCAGGTCATTGATGGTGAAGCAATGGCCATCTTACCTAGTTTAGCAGTGAATCATGTCCATGTTGATTAAAGTTCATGCTGTGATTCTGAAATTATTTTCTCTTTCAACCTAATATGACTTTGTTTGCAAAGGATTCAGTCAGGTATTACTCTTTCCTTTGTTTTAATTTTTGACAAGGAGATAATCATCTTTAGTTCACAATTATCTTAGAGCTATGGTGCATGGGTACTTGTATATGTTTAGCATGCCAGTGTCGCACTGTGTCAACAATGATAATGTTACCAGATACTGCTAGGATAACGGTAAGCATAAAATAAGATATCTACAAAAAATATTAAATGAATAAAATATAACATTATGCATTATGATAGGGTATACAAGTATCCAGCACATGGATACATATATTTATGTCTTATTCGAGCATCTTACGTTTGTTTGAAGTTGAAGATGTGCTTAATATGAAACATAGAATAAGGAGAGCAGATACCTTGACAATGTGGAGAGTGGCTGCTATTCTTAAGCTAAGAACAGTGAAGCTCAATTCTTTTTGTTTTTTTTTAAAGTTGTTAACTGTTTTATAGACAGAACTGATATACAAGAGTTTGAAGCACCCACAGTCCGGGCATTCGTATATAAAAACCCCTTACGGGGTCCAAAAAAAGCTATACAAGCAGAGGTATAGTAAGTAAAATAATAAGAGGTGCGCAAAAGTCTCCTGTGTGTTCTGCTGTGAGGTACCGTCCTTAGCAAGGGCGTCAGCTGCGGCATTGGCTTCCCTCCAGGTACGTTGCCAAACCGTGTGCATATCCCTGCAAAGGTGGAAGATTTCATCCAAAATGTGCTCCATTCTCCATGGGCATGGGGGAGGATTTAGATGCCCATGCAATGGCGTTTTTAGAATCCCCCTCAATAATTATAGTTTCACTCTGGGATGGGTTGAAATGGTGACGTCCCACGGAAAGGGCTAAGTCTTTGGCCATAGTGGAGTTGGTTTGACCAATGAAGTGGGAGAAGGAGAGTAGTGGAATTCAATTTTCGGGAAGGACTTTCATTTTGTAGGCTCTAAAGAATTGTTGTATTGCACCTTCAAAGAACAAAGGGAATTATTTGTTCTGCATATAACCGTATTAAAGGAGCTCATGCATTCTTACTAGAGATGGTGCTTCCAGTTAAGATTACATGAAATGGAGGTTGCTTGTTGTCTAGATTTGGCAACGAGCTCTTTTTGTAGATTTGGGCGATGATGACTCATGAAGATTGTGTTTGTTTAACAGGCTTCGCTTCAACACGTGACTCAATTTCTGTAGGATGAGAGGGTAACATGGTGTCTGTGTTGGTGTAGAAGTAATTAAGACAAAAGGTATGGAGGTTACAGAAAAAGTTTATTTAGGAGACAGAAGTCACAGAACATCAATGTATCTATTTGATGGAAAAAGTTTATATAAGGATGCAACCTTATAATGTAGAACTATGGATGCCCCCTCAAAAATCCATTGGAAAATGTAGTTTTAATGTTGAAAACCCTTTGATTGATCATCTTGACATCAAGATGTATGACCATGAAAAATAAAAAGATTTTAAGTCTCAGCAATAGTGCATTTTACAACATGTTATCTACACCGTTCATTTTCAAGATTTCATGTGTATAGATCTACTTGATTTTAACCATTTTTTAAATTTAAAATTTTATAATTAGATATAAAAATAAATTTTGATATAATCCTAAGAACATTTTACATCAAAATTATAGACCATGATAAAAGTTCAACGTGCACCTTACCTCTACAGCTACGGATGCATCTATATGCCAACTGCACCCTTATTTGATATGAATTCTTGTTAATCTGAGTGGGTTAGGTTTTGGAGACGTTTGGATTGGCCCATTGAACTTAACTTTCTAAGTTGTTCTGCATGGCCCATAATTACCGGGATCTCCGAAGGTGGTTGCTCTAGCTCTAAGAGCTCAATGTCCACCTTGGCAAACAGTGTGAAGCTCGAATTTTGAAGTTTGAGTTTGTAAGTCACAAAAATAAACACTGTAGCATACAAGTTGTTGCCATAGATAAAGGACAGCAGCTACGAAGCTAAAACTTCGCCATGTACTACCATAAATCCTTAAGTTCATCTACTAGATGCTCTATAAGCCTTATGCAATTGATCTTTGTCTCTAATGCCCTCTCGCTGGCCATCTCTACCATTAGAGCGACCTTTGCAGGTTGAACTTTTCTTTGCCTCTAGACCACTTTTTTTTCTCTTTGAATCGAAAGAGCCTTAGATCAGTTGCATGCCCAATCATATGTAAGGACCCAAACGAGGGAAAACAAGGCTACCACATTTTCATCAAATTCTAGAGCTTCTTTCGTGCCTGAAATTTGAATCCTCATTGTGGGTTTTTCGATTTCACTTTTGGCTCACGAAACACGCTTTCTAATGATAACAATTTTTTAAAAAATATTTTAAAATTAGGATTTTTTGTGTTTAGTGAGAGTTTGATTTTTGAATTTAGGAAAAACGTTAGTCATATTATTCAACATACTTCGTCTCCAAGCTAGAGTACCCTAGTAAGGTCTTGGGCAGCCTCAATTCTTAGTTGGACGGACGGGATCCCACATACTTAAAACATTATATCGTGGACAAAGTTAGATCTCACTCATTTCATATTGTGATCACGATACCGTTAACTAACATAGAGATCTCGATCCCTAATCCATGGATCTTTGTGTACCTCTCAATCCCATGGCCTTGATCCCATTCAGATCTAACCTCACTCCTGATCTCGGTAACCATGGGACAAACGTCATCGCTTCAAGGAGTTCGATATGGGTGATTTGGTAATGGTGAATCTCAAGGAAGGAGAGGTATCCAACATGTACAATAAGTTGAATAACTAGAAAGCAGGACCGTTGTTGGAAACGATTCCGAATCCAAAATCATTTTAGGAATCAGAATCATAGAATTGCAGCCGGCTAGAAGATTCATGTTTTTGGAATCAACGCATATACAAGAGGAATCATGGGGATTTTTACAAAATAGGAATCGACCAATATGAAATCGAGATTCCTTCATTTATGGTATCGAAATTCTGGCATCTTTGAAATTGAGATTGAATCGAGATTCATAGCAGTTTGTATTTGAGTTCCGACCCATCTGGCAATGAGGTTTGTAACCTCATATGATCAAGCATCAAGCTGACACATGGATAGATGTGACAGATTTTGAAGTTAGTAGGAGATTACATCATCATCAGAGCCTTTTCCCAATTATTTGGGGTCGGCTTCGGCTACACGAATCCTAATTTGCCATGCTGCTCTATCAAAATCCGTTGTAGTTTGTATCCCACACCGTATGCATCAAAAACCTTAATTTTAATGAGAAAATTATTTTTTTTTAAAAAAAAGCTGATTTCTCATAATCCCATTAAGCGGTCCACATTTTGGCCCAACATCCATTATCGTTTCAATTTCTATCCTCTGTAATATGGAAGACAAGTTTATCAAATTTGAGGAAGAACAGGTTGATATGGTGGCACCCTAACATATGTGGTACGCTCATGCAGAAAAAAAGTGCAAAAAAAAAAAAATGAAATGAAAATTAAATTTACGTGGTTTATATGAGACCTAAAGCTTTGTAGATCACAAACCCGAGTGAAATTTGATAAAAAAACAACCGTAATCCTTATCTTCATCTTCGATTTTGTTTGACTTTCTGAAATTCAGGAACTTTTCGGTTTCTTGGCTTTGGAAGCAAAATCAATGGGCAATTTTGTTTAATCGAACAAATCCGCACTAGAATACTGTTCAGGATTCAATTATCTTCAAATAGAACCAAATTTTAGAAAATTTAGTTACAAACTGATGCTCAATTCGCAAGGAAGCCAGATTGGTACAAGACCTTAAAAAAAAGCCCTTATCTCGATCACCAAATCTCATATTGCTTCTTAATATTAATAGAATACTGGTTTTATGAGCCTTCGGCAATGATTTCAGAACAATAATTGTCTAAAAAACGGTCGCAAGTGGATCACAAGGCGCCTAAAGGGATCAAAAGTTCAAAACCCGTGAAGAAACTCCATTCTTGGTGGCTGAACACACGGCCCATTCCAGATATATTGCGGGAATCTGTTTGACTACAACGTTTCTCAATCTAGATCGACTGATTCTTGTCCGAATTGGCATTTGCATTTTTTTGAACCGCAATTTGCCCTATGCCAATTTTATTATTATCCTTTTCTATAAATTAAAGTTTCTAACCATCAATTTCCTTAGGTTTTGCCCATGTCCGCCTATTTTTTGTGAGCAACCTATGTTAATTATCATTCGTCTCATTCTATCAGTACTCTTACCCATAAAGTTCCTAAATTTTATATGGCTAAATGAATCCAACTCTCTTGGACTAGCTTCTTTATCAACGCTCATAAAAAATGGCACATGAACCCTTGCTTACTTATCATCATAACAAGGAGTTGTTGTGGTCTATCGCTTCCAGAGAATGCCCTTAGCTAACCTTTACTCATTTCTCACTGGCGCACTGCACCCGGTTGCTAGTACAATGTGTCTCTTACAGGGGATGCCCTGGCAAGAGCATTATATAATATTGGATTGGGATTTATAAAATAGGTCCGGCAAAAATTTTACACTAGCTACTAACTCCTCCTTTCTACAAGCTTGGACCGGCATAACAGGCTTGGGATTAGCCATGCTGGAGTTAGTGGATTTCATTTTATTTTAGTTTAAGTTTTAAATTTAATTTCTTTTATTATTTTGGTTAAAGTGAGGGACATTCTACCTATTTTACTTTAAGTTAGACTACTTTTATTTTAAGTTAGGACTATTTAGTCAATCATATTTTGAAGGGCATTATGGACCTTTATACCCTAATTAAGTTATAAAAGAGGTGAGTGGAGGTCTAAGAGGGCCATTCATAAGATTTTGAAATAGAAAAGGAAGAAACCTTTTAACTTGAAGCCCTAGTTAGGCTTTGGGAAGAAACCCCAGGTTTCTTCAAAATTATGCCTGTGTTTTGCCTGAAATTGTCTAATTTTTTATTTTCTTCGCCAAATCTCTACATCACTTATTTAGCATTACTTATCAAACGTCAAATCTATTTTCAAGTAGTTGATATTCTATTGTGTCTAAAGTTTTGAACTACCCATTTGACCAAGTTGTGAACTCTAAAGTTGAAGTGGGCTCTGAATCATATTTCTGAAGAGCTTTGGGCACAAAACATAGGTCAGTGAAAAACCAATCTTCGAATACAATAAGAAAAAAATAGATATTAACAGATGTCACAAAAATTTGTAATTGAAATAAAAGGTATTGCCTTCCATGGCCTTGGAAAATCAGACCAGAGATGGGTTACTATGAGAGAAACCAACTACAACTTTCACATTACTTAACAAGCTAATAGGCGTCCAAATCATGGGAACAAGGTGGCTTTGATTCCTCTCCATGCAAAGCGGTCTCTTTCCCTTTCTGGACCCACTCTTTATCGAGTTAAGGTTTTGGGTGGCAACCTGCAAGGCAAAACATGAAGGTTGTCACCAGAACTACAAATATTTCTAAAAAGATTTTACCTTTTTTTTTTTCTTTTGATTATTGCTATGGGATTGTGTGGTGTGGTTACTAAATTTCTTTAATCCCAATAACTTTTATGTATAATTCAAGGGAAGTATACCACAATGCAATTTACTACAGAAAAAGCAGACCATTGGAGTGGAAAATGAGTGTACCATGGTTAGTAACAGGATTACCACTTTTAGATCAAATATATTGAATACTTAATTTAAATGAAATGGATCGGATACTTGCGGGAGGGGTTCCTGTTCTTCTCAACATTTCTATAGTCTCGATAACTTCCCTTTGGAGGGTCTTCCTGTATAATGACAATGAAGACAAGAACAGTTATTGATAAATCAACACATAGTAATTTTATGTTTACCATTCTGTGCACATAGAATAGTCAGCCATAGTAATCATTAAAGCATTAACACAGCATCCCTGCCAAAAAATAAAGACTCAACTGCCTAGTTGACAATTCACTTCTAAATACACTTTTTGAATGAATGCATCAGAGTGTCTCAGAAATATGTCCTCCCAATTTCAATTAACAGCATCAAAAAAATATGTTCTCCCATGCACTTCATTTCCCCAAAAGAGAAGAAACCATCTTTTGTCACTTGTGTAATGGAAGACAATCAGTTGATTCAAATACATGACTGAGCATGCATAATGTTCTATCAGATTAAAAATAGCACATAAGTCAGGCTTTTCAATTGTGACTGGTATCAAACGAGGTTTCTTGGGATCTAGCTGCTAGATTGAATTCCTCATCTTACAGAGCTATAAAAAGCATGTCGGTGATTTCTTGTAAACTTGGAAATTCTTTTGGATTATAAAAGATAGAAAAGTAATCTGACACTTAGCATTGCACTTCACTTCAAGGTGTTTGAGCAAGGCCTCTTCTATT